TTCAAAATTGTATGGTGTATAGAAAATGCTAATTTAAACATTCAGTGAAATTTTCATGTATCTACAGTTGTTCGTTTTTGAATTACAACAAAATAAGGAAATCGCTACATGAGAAATCGAGTGAATATCCAATGTTGTAAAAATTTTAATTTCAAACGCTCATAAAAATTTAACTTGACTGTCCGGTAGAGATTTTTTTATTGATAAAGGTAGATAATCTTATAAGGAATCTTGTGTTTCATTTTCAAATCTTAGATTTAAAAAGAAAAATTTTTACGAATTCTTAACTCAAAATAATTTGCTAATTTTCGTGATTTTTCCATATTTTTTAAATTTTTAAACTTTAAATGCTTATAAAAAAAAATTGTGACTAAGGATTTTTAATATTTTTCATCTGCCTTTGAAACAACATATTAGGAGCCTTCTATTAAATTTTCAAGCTTTCGCAACCAACAAATAAAATTTTATTGATATTTCTAGAAAAAAAACTAAAAAAAAATGAAAAATGAAAATGTCCCTAAACAGTTCAAAATAAATCAAAATATTTTGAAAATGTTATCGTGTATAGAAAATGCAAATATAAACAACCAGTGAAAATTTCATGTATCTATGGTCATTTGTTTTAAAGTTACACCAAAAACCAAATTCGATTTTTTGGAAAATCGATTTTGCGTAAAAATTCCCGTTTTTCCTTAATTTTTATGTTGTTTTTCCCGGCGCTTGTGAAAACTACTGGAAAATGTTTACTTTTAACCCCCCAAAGTACCAACTAGATTCACTTTCCTATCAGAAAAGGTACTGTTGAAGAAAATCGAAGCACTTTTACTGTCCCAAAACGTGATGACAGACACAAAAAAAAATATAAAAATATAAAAATATAAAAACACACATCATTGTAAAACCAATACATTCGTCGCTCCGCTCAGAATCTAAAATTGGAGAAAGTGAACTGGCCAATCTCAAATAGACATAATAACGAATTCAAATCAGTTTTAAAAAGTATTATCGTATTGCTAGATCAATCAGTATGATACTATGATGGAATAAAAATTGGATGTTTTAGCTAAAATAACTGTTTAATATATTATAAATTATAGTATTTTGTCAGAAACGTTTTTTCCCGGCCAGCCCGAATCGTGTTATAAAAAAACTTGGTTTCAAAAATATATAATATAAATAGTATACTTACTAAATTTTCAACCAAGAGTAACGCTAATGTCATTCAAATTTGCGTAAGGCACTTTATTGTGCTTATCAATATCGTATTGACTATTTAAAACGAGATTCTTTATTAACCATTAGCAACAAAATCCACACTAATTTCTTACACGTAAATATGATTAACGTGATTAATCTATTTTCGATTTCATATTTTATATATTGCAGGTATCTTCGTGGCACAATTTCTGTAGAGTTTCTTGAATAAAATTCATAGTTGTGTGTTTAATAGACCCGACAGATGTAATAAATCCACAAAACCTATACAATCCACAACTTTCAATAAAATTGGTTACAATATTTCTAGATAATTCCAAAACGATATCAGCATGAAATATTTGGCACAACAACAGTATTATACAGTACGTCAGTACCTATCGTTTGAAATTGTTTAATGTAGTCGGCCGTCTCTACAGTATTTTTATAATATGATAATAAAATTAATATATTTTCAAAACCAATTTTATATGCTAATTGTAACAACGAGCAATAATGGTTTGTTTTTATTATAAATTAGATTTGTTTCAGGCATCGCCTTTTGGAACAGAAAAAGAACAGATAAAATGCTTCAATATTTCAACTTTGACTGTTTTTGGTGGCAAATTGGATCTAGTTTGAATATTTTTATCCATAGTTTAGGTACCTACCTACACATTTTCACCAAATATTTATGTTAGTATTTTCCAGTGTTGGGGACTTACTTATTTTTGGTAATTAAATTACATTACTAATTACTTATCAAAATTGTAATTAAATTATTTTTTAGTTACTTTTTTTTAATTTGGTTAAGTTACATTAATTTTGAGTTTAAAAAGTAACTGAATTACCTACAATAGAAGTTACTTTTTTTCAAAAATATCACTGGAGCTTAATAATCATGTTGTCAATATAACAATATATAAACTAAATAGGTAATGACAATCAAAAATATGAAATTATTAACAGATACTCATTTTGCTACACTATTATTATTATTCTTTTTATTGAACTTAAGCCAGCTATGGCCATTAGGGGATTATGAACTGTGGTTGGTAAGGTTGGTATGGTAAAATGTAACATGTTACATATTCAAAGTGACATTCATAAAGTGTTTGTGTAGTGTTTTTTTCATCACCTCAATCTACCAGACACTTCGACCGGACTGCGATCAACCACGATTCAATCATTGGGTCCGCGTCAGTTTTTACTACTTCGAATCCGGGTGGTCACCCATCCGGGAACTAGTAGCAGCGGGCGTAACTTACTCTCAGTCGTATTGCGCGACTGGTAGCTAGCAGCCAAGCCACACATTTATTTGTTAATTAATTTTTTTTTTTATTAACTAACGCGTAGAAACTTAGGCAATTGAGTGGTTTTTAACAGTGAGGGAGGATACTGCAGGTTTTTGTAAACACGTGTGTTTTAGCTTGGCAGAATTTCAAATTGGGCACCCGTAGGTTTCTGCCATGCCCGGTCGGGGGATGGCGGCCTCTCTCTCCAGACAGATGTCTACCCGGAGACCGAGATTTGAAGTTCGAACCTTCGAAGGTCCGCGTTGCAACCAACGCCTTAGTAGTTAGTCCGCTCCCACACTTTTATTATTATTTCTATTTATTGATAGTTCCAACAATGCTGTAAGCGCAGACGCTGAGGGCGTGAGCCGTCCTCGACGATACAACACAGTCCACAGAGTAAAGATAAGAATTCCATTCTAAAAGTAACACTTTATAGTCGAATAGTCAATAGCTATAACAAAAATATTACGGTTTAGACAATTTTACCTATAAATTAAAATACTTATAAGTTATATTATGATATATTTTAATATTTACCTACACACAATATTATCAATACGTTCTAAAAATGTATTAATCCAAAAAAAAAGTAACGAGTAATTTAGTAAAAATTACTACAAAAAAGTAACTTAGATTACATATAAATTACTTACAATAAAATGTAATTAAAATACCATCAAATTACTTAAAAAGTAATTTCGTTACAGTAACTTGTCAACGTCGACGACTGCTGCTGCCTAGCTAGAGAAAACCAGTTGTTTTTGGGAACTCGAAGGAGACCTGCGCAGCATTGCCAAGTGCTTTGACAGGTGACAGTTAAAATAGTCATTGCGTTGATTAATTAATTTAATAATGTAGGTATAGTTCAGTACGCTAGTATGGTACGTTGGTATGGTTATAACGAAAAAGTGTATTCTGTCGAATTTACTTTCCAGCTAATAGTTAACAAGTTCTTCTTAGTGGAATTCAAAAATAAAGTTTATCATTAGCATAAAGTCTAAAGTCATTAATTTCTCTGAGTGTTTGGAGTTTAAATGTTCAATGTTGATGAAATTTTGTTATTCAAACATAAATAAATAATTTCTCTAAACAATTGTATTTTGAAATTATTTTATTTTATTCTTTTTTTTTTTCAATTATATTATATTAAGACAAACGTCCAATCACTGAAGTATTTCAACAAATAAGTATTTTTTTTGTAACTATATTTTTGTGTTTATCTTATAAAAATATAAATGCATATTTTTGCATATGTTGGTAAATAAAATGCATACCGTAAAAGCGGGATACTTTGCTCCAAATATATTTATTTTTTAGTTTGAACCTATACTATAGCTACAATAACAAAGATAAAAATTACCTGTTCGAGTTGTTTTATATGTATAGATGTTGAGAGGTAAGAACAATTCAAAAAAATCCGAATGTCATACTAGTGACTTACTTACTTATTCCCAAAAGTTTGGAACAAAGTTAAAATACATTGCAGGTTACATTGCACAATGATTATAATTACCTTACTTTAATGCATATAATAACTATTAGTGCAATGTTTAGTGCTTGTTTTTTACCTTATTTGAATCTATACATAATATTATAATTGAATAATATAATTATTTGTTTTTTTTAGTTGATTAGTCTTTTTTCAATACATTTTAAATTAAATTGTAATCCCCTAGATTTTGGATAACTTTTCCGTTATATTGTGTTTTTGAAAACAGTTTTTTTCATGACATACATCTTGGAGGCAAACTAATAGATTGATGATCGTAATGTTTGAAAATTTACTAATGTTAATAAGAATAATATAAAAAGAACTACAATCTCTGATCTCAAAATCGTAATGTGCTACGATTGATATCAATAAATATTTTTTTTGGAGCAATGTTTAACCCCTGGAGTAAAGTATCTCGCTCTTACGTAATTTTACCATTTTTTATTGCATACAAATCCTAGCCCTGCTAATTAGTAACCATCATAGGCATATAAAATTTCAAATATTTTTGGTTTTTGCTCTATTAATGTAGGTAAAAAATATTGTGCTTGGTTAAAAATATAGGAAATGTAACACAAGGTTTATCATAAGTTTTTCTTATAGAAATTTAAAATCATATTTTTTTTAATGGAAATTTAAACAATAAAATAACGATTTTAGTTATTTTGTTATTTTATCACATACATTACAGTGAGTTACTCGATAATGAGGTACAATCCAGTATACTTGACACCTACTGTACAGCATATCGATTACCTACTTTTTAGTAGTGGTGATTACATAATTATAAGATTGATAAATATAATATATAAATGTGTATATAAAAATATTTATTTCGACTACTTAAAAATATGATAAGATCAATAATAGTTGCGAAAGAAACATTCATCACAACATTGTAAAACATATTGTGTATAATAAACAGTACAAAAGTAAAATATTGATCGTTGTTAAATAAGATGACAAATCATTTAAAAAAAACCAACTTATACGAAAATAGTCAAATATTTCCAAAATTATCTGCTAGTCGTTTCTTGTATATTCTCTTTGGGATCACATGGTCTTCTAAACTCTTGTCCCGCTTCATGTAACCATTTATTACACACTAGAAAAAACAATATAATATAAATATCAATACAAAATATATTAAAACAGTGTTAAATAAAATACCCCATTTTGAGCCTTGGAGTACAGGACAAGCAGCATGTCTAGTTCTAAGATCTCCATTTCCGCTTGGATATAAATTAAACCATACAGCAGCTGTTCCTTTTACTGGTTGTAGTGCTACGCCTAACCAAGGAAATACAGTAGCACCTCCTTGAGCTACATCACTCATCTGCATAATTAGAATAACATTCACATAGTTATATTATATATGTATTGGTATTATAGTTATTGATGTAGTAACAATTCCTTACATAAAATAAAACAGTGGCAATTCTATTTCCGGTCCCTAATGACTTGAATGCATTGATTTCTTCTGTCTAAATAATTAAAAGTAAAATTAAAATGTATATTATTATTATAAATAAATAATTAATATTAATCATTGTACATACTCTAGCAAAATCATAATGTGGATCATAATGTCCGCCCACTCCATAGTTAACAACTTGAAGTTCCTCGGCTGTTTCCGTTGTAAGACCTGTCATCACTTCAACTCTTTTGGCAACATTTGCTACCACAACATCTTCGTGTTCTTTTAACCAAGCCGACTTGCTTATTCGGTAATCAGCAAATTCCAATTCACCAGTTTTATAATTTTGAACAGTAGCCCTCTTAAGCTATAATATAAATTTAAATTAATACTTTTAATTTTAAGTTTAAAATAAAGAAAACTTACTCGAGGCTGAGCCATGCGCTTGATAACTTCTATTTCGTTGTCATATAGAACATCACGATAAAGAATTATTCGAGGACTGAAAAAAGCTTCTTCTTCTTTGAGTGGAGCGATTAATAAAAGAGGATTTCTATTGTTGTTTGTGTAGCGGCATCGAAGTTGAGAACTAATTTGGATTGACATTAAATTTTCATTTCTACACAGCATGTGATATCGCTCTCGTTCTTCGGGATCTAACATTGCAGGAACTGATTTTGGAGGTTGTTCACTTTTACCGATTTCAGTCGTTCCATTTTTTATCGCAGCTTCGTAATATGCTAGATTTCCCAGGGCACGTTCGTGATTTGGAAGTATTGATAACAGTTCAATAGTTAAATCTAATGCTTTTTTTAAATTTCCTGCAATAAATAAAACAGCCAAAATTGTATACATCTATATTCCAAAAATATATATCATTATTTACCTTGCATAAAAGTGGAATATGCAAGATACTCCAAGATTTCCCAACGAACTGTCACATTTGATCTCTCTTGTTCGTGTCTGTTTAAGGCTTCGTTCATCCACAATTCCGTGTGATAAAAATCATAGCCATTGTACGACTGGCGGCCGAGTTCAAAACAGTCACCAGCTAAAAAAAAAATCGTTTATGAATGTTGTTCAAATACCTGTAAATTTCGTTTAGGAAATTGAGTAAAGATTACTTACCCGATAATTGAGTACTGTATTGAATGCCGTTCAACTCTCCTCTGGCAACTGATGCCGTGTCGAGTTTATACGTGTCTTGTAATCTAATAAGTGCAGTTGCCGCACCGGTTAAATCTTCATCCGTAGGGAATTTGAGGAGTTCACGATATTGTGTCAGATTTTTCATAGCAGCTAAAAATGTACAGTTTAAAAATATGTATATTTATATTTTTGATGTTTGTAGGTATATAGGTATATAGGAGGTATATAGGTACTTTGTAATCATTTATTCGCACAATAATTTACGAGCTTACTTTCATAGTATGGATCTTGCATCAATTTTTCTGTTTTATGCCAGTCACTGGTTAATCGTTTGACCAATAAATAATCATTGATCGGATTTGATAGATAATTAGTAACGTCTCTTGCTGCGATTGAATGTTCTTTTTCGTAATCCACGGCATGTCTGGGAACATTAAATTATTGAAATTATTATTGGAAATTTGTTTTTACTTTCGAATGTTTAACTATCGACTTAATTATGGGATAATTTCCAATACTTTTTTAATACTGCTATTCTATGTTCTTGGTCGGAAATGTATTGGTGCAGAGTTTGTAAAAGAACAGATTCGGTGTCTAACAACTCTTCGAGTTCGGAGAGCGCTGTGTACACTTCGCCTTGTAGAGGTGTACATAGGGCCAGACATAATGGCAATACCACCCATATAGGGGGCATTCCTAAAAAAAAAAATACGAATTTAACAATTAATTGAAATTTGACTGAAAAGTCTGAATCATTAAAATTTAAAACTATAATCAATCGAAAAAAACCAGTTCTAGAACCAAAACAATGTCATGAAATTACGCTGTAATTGGCATAAGTCATAGTACGTAATATGTATAGGTACAACCATGCACAGAAAACCCGGACCCAAATCCAGGAGGACACCAAGCTTAACATATAAATTACAATGTTTGTATACATTATATTATAAACAATAAATTGAACCGGTTAGAAATTTAATTTATATCTACATTTCAAATAATCTAAAATATTTTAAGTATTAGAAATTTTAATACTTGCATCGATTATGTAGGTATTATATAGGTAAAAATATATTTTCATTATTCGGCCTGATTTCGAATTAAAGCCAAATAATATAGGTACAGGGTGATTTTTTTTACATACGGCACTCACTATGTCATGTCCGTGTTTATGTAAATAACTTGCAATTTTATTTAGGTAGGCATACTACTGCATTTTTAACTATAACGATTACCTGAATTTGTCGTTTTATGTTGAAGACATTTTATCAAATCTCATTTTATTTTAATAAATTAATTTAAACTTTAAATTTGGACTTTTTTAATGGCAATTCTCATAGTTTAAACAATGTTTAGTTTAATAAAACGATTATAGTGTACAATATACAAACGCATAAAGTATTATCGTGAATAGTGATAGTTCTGACTTCTGATAACCTGACAACCGACCATCACATATCATATACCTATTAGTATTATATTATTTATAATTTTCATCCGTCGTCATATTCACGAGTCTCAACCATAGACTTATTATTATTAACATATGGACTGCGCGTCCCCCACACCATACCAATAGGTTGCCAAGTGCCAACATTGTTAGAAAGAGATAGTCAAAACTTGTGTGATATAATGGGACCTGACTACCTAAAGTGTATGCTATGTTTCTAAAAATGTTGTTATCTTTGTTGTTAAACTATTCTCACTCTCTCTTGCTATTAATTGGTGTAAATGGTACCTAAGTTGTATGCTATCTTTTTCTAACAATGTTGGCCCCTGGATCTCTCTCTCTCTCTGTTATCAGTCCATTTCTTTATAGTCTATGGTCTCAACTGACTAAGTACATTATATTTCTAAGAACTAAATAAAACTATCGTATAAAAAATGTCTATTTAGATAATGAAATTAAGCAGTAATTTATTAAAGTTACCTATATACGTACGGGGTTATTGTGTTCTACAAATAAACATTCGACTGTTTTAAATCATTTATTTTATATTTAGATTTATAGTGTGATTTAATTATGCCTTATGGGAACCATTTAAATATACGGAAACCAGTGAATCGGTCAGTTTATTTCACCGTCACAGTCATCAATTTTTTATTTCCATTGTTAATTAAATCAGAAAATTAAAAATATAACATAATATACATATTAATAAGAGGGGCAATGGCCGCCGAAAGGATGTAACTTTACTTCCTAGTTCCTATAGATAAAATACATGTGTGAGAGATTAACGTTTTACATAACATCAGTATTTTATATTAAAACTAACATTATAATAGACGGACGCGTAAAAATATATTATGATATTATACTCGCAACAAAATATAACGATAAGAAAATAAAATAACCATTACACCTAATAACTAATTTTTTTTACAAGCTTATCTCGTGAACATTTATTTTTCATATATATGTATAATATATATTATAGGTAAATACTATAAACATCCTATGATCACGATAAAAAAATTATTAATACTTCTTGTCTCTAGATACAATCACAATTATTATTTATTAACATTTAGTTATTTTACTTTCTAGTCGAATGTATTAGCCTATGTTAGACGTATAGTCGAGTACCTACATTTAAATATAAAATAATAAATACACAGGTATTAAACTATTCAAACTATGTATATTATTGTATACACTTTGACTTTGTAGTATATTAGTATTATACGGTATAAGTAGTTACTAGTTACAACAAACAGTCATATTTAACAACAGACCCCGCGTGTTAATTGACGGCCAAGTACAGATGTAAAAATAGTTTATACAGATTTAAATATTAATATACAAACTATTATTATTTAATAATTATTTATTCTGAAGTGTGTATTAAGTATAAACCTACAGTTCCTTAAACTTATTTCAACCCATTAACTAGGTATTGTTTATGTTTAATAAGACATAGAATGCGATAGGTATTTTTTTTTAATTTAGATAATAAGAGTTTAAATTTTCAAAGTATATAAAGTTAAAGAAAATTAGATTGGATTAAGTTTAAGTACCTACTCTTAAACAAGAATTTAAAATTATGCTGTGTAATGGAATAAAAAAACAGGAGCGACTGTATAGAGCTACTACACTTAGTGTAACTTATCTTAATTAATGTACAAAATAAAAATAACAAGTCCATAAACAATAATGTTAAAACGTACTTTATAATAAGTAATAACTATATAATATCAATAAAGGTAGAAGTGTAATTTCTCCGTATTTTCACAGCCTCCGGTCATATTTGAGATCCGCCTGTACCTATTGATTAACTACACATATATACTAACCGTGAAAAACGTTCCGAACACAACTAAATTTGAATTATAATATATAATATGTACTGTTTAAATGTGTTACATTTTGTAAATTTTTTTTTGAAGATGAAATATTACCGCGGAACAATAACTTTTTAATAATAATAAAAACCGTTATTACTTGTTCACGAACCACGAGGAACAATAATAATACCACGTTGATAACTTGTGAGCGTACGTCGTACCACATTGTTCTTAACCTAACCTCATGCAATACCTGGATGACCTTACATTGCGTTCGTGACATCTTGTGCCTGTGGCTATATTAGAGATTATGTTTTCACTTTTAACACGTTAGTAACCCATTGCTTGTGTTAGTCGCCGAATAAATTCAGTAAAATGATTATTAAGAATGATGATTGTACATATAAAAAGATGGTGTATTTTCTCTTGAAAAAAATCAATGTTCGAATCAAAACAAAAATAATAATACGCGCGAGGCACCTAGACCTAAATTTGTATTAAATCTGCAAGTTTAAATACATTTTTGTATAATCTTATGAAACATCAATCATATTCAATTATTAATTGTTCATGAGATAATTAACCATATTATAGTATATTGTCTATATTATATTTAAATTATATTATATTATCTAGACAATTTTGCTTTTTATTAAGTAGAATAAAAAATATCAAAAACTGATATGTTCATCAAAATTGTTTTATGATAAAAAAATAATGACACTAGTTTTCTAAATATTTTTTACAACGTGTATATTATATAGAATAGGTACTTCACAAAAAAATTATTATCAATTATACAATCAATATAATATAAATTATATAATAAATTAAACAACAGATTTAAATAATGAATATCATTTATATTAAAAGTTGGAATAATAAGAGTTTAGTGTATATATATAATATGTACTACTGTCATCGATAAAAACCAGTTATTGCCGATATAATATAATATTAATTATTAACAATACATAATAATTTGTTCAGACAATTACATAACTACTATCATTAACAATACTTAACCTCAGCAGACAAATTAAAAAAATGTTTTTAATTATTAAGTTTTCAAGACATCAATTTTATTAATTAAAAGTTCTTTATTGGAAGTTTTTAAATTATTAAGAGCATGCGTCGGCAGTAATATTTCGACAATCATTTTTTTACCTTTGACTTCTTAACTCCTTAAACTTTGAAATATTCCTTTGACTTAAAAAGTTGTCATTTCGCTTTCCAATTTTTTATGATGGATATTTATTATTTTGTCTTCAAATAATACTCCATTTTTTAACGTTAATTTTATTATTTTATATTTTATAAAAATAATAATTATTATTATCATCATATTTATGATAATATGATAAATATATGCATTTACAGACAACGTTATCGTTGCGTGTGAGAAGCCCCAATAATACTATTGAACTAAGTTATGTATATAATTATAATATAGAATAGTATAAGACATATAGTATAATAATATTATATAGTAACATATTCTTACTATTTTTTTAATAGTTTAATGTTACCTACATGTTAATATTGTCTAAATAGTAAATACTTTAAAGACATAAGTACATAACTATTTACTATATACGGTCAATGTTAGTAACATTTTGCTTGTTGCTTATACAATTCTACATTAATAGTCTTTATGTCTATAAAATACATCATGTGTAACTTTATCAACAGTTAATTAATATCAGCATTAGCCATTGCTGCCTGCTTTTTGTACGATAATCGGGGCAGAATTATGGCGTAAGCAGTGCTGTGACTTGCAGAACTATAGAACCGTGATTGACCATGTATCTAGAGGCCCCTTACAGTTACATTTATTTTTGATTAAGTACAAGAGTTTATGGAAGTAATAGATTAGATTGTCTCCACACCTAAATCAGTGTAGTTTTCGTACATTCGCTTAATTGGAACTGTTTATTAAGTCAGACCACGGTAAGGCGGTGCAAAGGTACGATTTTTAATTTAGTATGTCTGTATTTAAATTTAAATAAATCCCATGTAGGTATTTAATTTAATTTAATTTGTATTGTTAAATTATTTTACTATTTATGCATAATATAATATGTCAAATAATAGTATAAAATATTATTCTACTATTTTTTCAATTTGGATAATGATAGATTTTTGTATACTCATTAAAAAATTTAAAAAGTTTGTACAATATATTATTAATAAATATAAATCAATTATTAAATATTAAAAAAAAGTTTAGAAAGGGCTAGAGAAATAAAAGCACTAAGCCACCAAATTGTGCTAAAATTAGCTAAGGTCTTAATCTGGGCTTGGAAGTAACATATAATATACATTATAAGTAGGTATACCTAGACTGGTACTCTAATCAGCAAACAAACCGCAAGCAACAAGCATAAATAAATAAATTATGATTTG